AGAGTCAGAAATGATATGTACTTTTTTCATAAGCATTTTGTTTCTTTCACTATTATAAAAATAAATAAAATATTAGTTAAAATTAAAAAATATATAAAAAATTAATTAAAATTAAAAATTTACACTTTAAATAAGGTGTCGTGTGAAAAAAAAATATTTAAACTACAAAGCACAGCTTTTATCTCTTCCAATTTCAGTTGTATCTTTTGAAGCCCCAATTTTTTTAATAGTGCATGGCTGTGCGATAAAACGAGCAATTCTAAAGTAAGAACTTATATGTATTTTTCTCATATTTATAAGTTTTTTTGTTTTTTGTTATTTTAAAATAAATAAAATATTAATTAAAATTAAAAAAATATAAAAAATTAATTAAAATTAAAATTTACACTTTAAATGAGGTGTCATGTGAAAAAAAAAAATTTAAACTACAAAGCACAGCTATTATCTTTTCCAATTTTAGTTGTATTTTCTGAAACCCCATTTTTTTAACAGTGCATGGCTGTCTGATAAAACATGCAATTCCAAAGTCAAAATTCAAAACTCGAAACCTACATTAGAAATAGGAACAAGAAATAATAACAGAAATAAAGGCATCCATTGTCAGTACTTTCCACATATTTTTTTCATATAACATTTTATATCAAAATTTAAATTTATAATTTTTGATGGTTAAATGCTAAATTTGATCCCTCAACTTTAGTGAGTTGCACATTTTTGGTCCCTCAATAATTTTTTCCACTTTTTTTATCTCTCAACTCTAAGAAATGCACACCGTTAATCCTTCTGTCAATTTAGACCGTTAACTTTGTCATGTGACATTTTTTTATATTTTTTGATGATATGGTGAAAACAACTTTAAAAAGTGTTGATTTGAAATTTTTTTTGATGACAGGTCAATGCCAACTCATAAACCAAATTTGATTAGTATTTATATTTTTAATAAAAAAATAAAAAAATTCGATCCATCTTCTTCCCTTCCTTTTTCTTTTTCTTTCTTCCTCTTCTTCCTCTGTGTTGTTGGGTTTAAGGGAACTCAGCTCAGGTTCGATGGAACCCGTCTGTTGGGTTCCACCAAACCCAGATCTGCTGGGTTTGAGGAACCCAACAACTGGATTCCACCGAACCCAACTCGGGTTCAATGGAACCCATTTGCTGGGTTACATCGAACCCAAATCTGTTGGACTCGATGGAACCCAACTCCACTTTTTTTTTTTTTGTTATATGTTTGTTTGCAAAGAGGTTATCCAAATTGCAGGTTGTGAGGGATATTTGGGATCCTTTTCTTCATATTTCTTAAGTATTGTCTAAATGATTTCAATGTTCAAAATGGAAAGAATATCGTCAGCGATGGAAAGAACAGAAGCAGTGACCGATGTGCAAAAAAGTAATTCTTAGTGGGTTTCTATTTGTTTGGCTGGAAAATTATATAGTATGGGTGTTTGGATGCTGAGAAAATGCTTTGAATCTGTTTGGTTACTGAGATTGGTAACCGAGAAAATTATAATGTCCGTTCAAGAAAGAAAATTTGATGAGAAAATTGTGATTTAATTATAAATTAATTTAGAATCTCAATTTTGATTAATATAAATAATTATAGTTTAATAATGATTAATTAATGGAATTTGATTTGATATTATTTTTTATTCATGTAAACATTTAATTTAATTTGTTATATTATTAAAAAAAATAAAAAATATCACTTAATTTGTCATGTCATTAAAAGACATCTTTGATGTTGAGCCCATTTGAGTGGATTTTGTGCCATGTCATCAAAAGACATCCTTTTTTATTGGTGATGTGAGGCTCATTTGAGTGGATTTGGCGCATTTGAGTTATGGTAACATGACATGGTAAAATGTTTTGTCCATATCATCATTTTTTTAAAATTTGCTCTTCATATCATCAAAAAAAATATAAAAAAATGCCACATGGGTGGAGTTAATGGCCCAAATTAACATAAAAACTAACGGTGTGCATTTCTTATAGTTGAGGGATCAAAAAGTGGTAAAAATTGTTGAGGGATAAAAAATGTTCATTTCTGAAAGTTGAGGGACCAAATTTAGCATTTAACCATTTTTAATTAATTATTTGGATACTTTATTAATTTTAATTAATATTTTTATTTTTTTAGATTATAAAAAATAAAAAATCTATCACTATGTCCAAAAATAGTATGGTACAAACAACCGAAGTTAGGATCAATTTTTTAGTGCAAAAGATGTTAGTCCTCTCTTTTTTCTCTCTCTCACATACTTAAGTTTTAAGTTTGATCTTAATTTAAAATTTAAAAATTTTAACTACTTGAAAAAGACTAGGTACAGAAATGGAATCAATAAATACCTAAAGATGGCCTTTTGGATGTACTTAGAATGGTTATGAGACGTTATAATTGTAATTGTGACTATACTAAATTATATTATGTTATAATTAAAATTAAAATTGTT